TACTCCCGAGTAAACATGGAAAGGTGTATGGTGATGGCCAACGGTTGATTAGTCAGTTTGCTCGGCTGCAGTTAAGTTGCTCTCCTGAGGAAAAGGCTGAAATCCTAGACGCATGTTAATTGACTAGGGAGTAAGATGCATTGAACTCGGTGGAACTTACTCCTGAGTAAACATGCTTGCGACTGCCTTGTGAAATCTGTTAAGGGGTGCCGTTTATGACCCGAATCCACTGCCTGTTTACTCTAGAGTCACTTCCACTGTTGTTTACGCCCTGGTAAGTGTGCGTCACATCGTATCTTTTGAAAACGATCCTGTGGTCTTTTTACTCGGAAGAAAAGCTCCTTATTGAGTTCAGTGGGACTTGCTTCCTGGTAAATTGACTGTGTAGTAAGTGTGTTTGGGAAAAGATGTGTGCAAAGCAAGATTCGAGACCAGTACCGCCTTAGAAACCAACAAGATTTCCAGAATTTCCAAGAGTCAAAGCATCCTTCTGCAGATGTCTGACTAAAGAAACTTTGACTTTGCAAAGATCACACCCTCAAGATCTCTTATTCAAGGTATGAGCTTTCGTGTGCATACACGCTTTTTCAAATTTAAAAAAGTGTGCCTGCACACAAAACCTCATACCTTGAATAACCTTTTGTTGATCTTAAAGGTGCCACTGGACTCTAAATTTGTTCCACTGCTTCAAACCAACATGGCTGACCACCTGGAACAACCCTGAAGATGTTGTTGGCCTCTGAGGTGCCACTGGACCGAAATCTGGCTGTTCTATTGCAGACCAGCACAGGTACCCGCTGAAAATATCTTGATGTATGCAGAGTATGCTTGGAAGCTGACCATGCTGTTGAGTTCAGTGAGACTTCCATTCAAGTCCTATAGCTTTTGCAAGATATGCATGAAGTTATAATGCTAAACTCAACAACAAAAGAGAGTATCATGGTGATTGTATGCACGTACACAAAATCTTATACCCAGAATTAAACTTGTTGGTCTTAAAGGTGCCACTGGACTCAAAACTTTGTTCTTATGCTACATAGGTACTGGCATCAAGGGAGAAAAAGTCTTGGGGCACCTCGAAAACGGACAGATTTCTTGCCTAAGAAGCTTTTGTGGCCAGTTTAATACACACACAGTCCTGGATAAAGTGAACGTAAACATTTGTGAATCATGAAATGTATAAGGCAGTCAAGATCTTTGTATGCCAAAATCAAAAAGTAAAACTCAGTGACCATTCCCAACAGGTAGAAAAATTCAAAAACTGAATTGAATACCTTTTTGTTCAGACCAAATCAGACATCCCAAAGCTGGGACACACCAGAAGACTCATTCAGGCTGGATGCTTAATCCAAAAAGATCATTACCTGTTGATGCTTACTTGGAAGTCAACCTCCATTAAAGTTACTAAGTCTTGTGTCTGACTCAAGATGCATCGAATTGGACATTTAGTTCTGCAGAATTAGGGAGGGAAGATGAGACTGGGTTACTAGTTTAAGATAGTTTAAGAGGGTAGTGTTGATCTGCAGTAAAACAGATTTGAGTCTAGTAGCACTGGACTGTGAGCCTGAAACTTCTTGTTGGTCTCTGAGGTGCTCAAATCTAAGTATTCTACAAATTTAAGGCTGCGATCACATGCGCCTTTAGATCCGACATAGCTGCGAATGCCTGACGGATCTAAAGGGCGCGATCAGACAGCAACATCTGGGAAGCGTCTCGCATTTGTCAGCAACCCATGCTGCTCCGCCACAGAAGCAGAGTTAAAAGACACCGGGGAAAGTCCAGTAGTAAATGGGTTTCAATGGGCCACGGACGGACTTTCCCCTGTCTGATCACGCAACCACGCACTCATGCCGTCGGGATGGTCTGATCAGGCCATCCCAGCTCGGTGCCGTTTCCCGCTCCCTCTTTGCAGTATGCGCATCATCCCATACTCCATAGGGGGCCCTCAGTGCAGAGGTGTGATTCCTCGTTTATGCGCATGAGGAACAAACAGCCAAAAAAAATGACTCACCCGCAGTTGTGTCGGATCACACAGTGACGGGCTGTGCCCACAGCTACAAAGGGAAGTATGATCTCGCAACTGCGTGTCAAATTCCTCTGGAGAAAATAGCCTCACTTCCCCTCCACTTTAACTGGCGCATGTGACTGCAACCTAAGCCTAAGGTGATGATCCTAAATGTTTTGTTTGTTTGTTTTTTAAATCTCCTAGCTCCTAAAGACATGTTTATTGTGACATATAAGTGCTCATGGGCTACCCTAGAGGCACAAAGCGTTTATTCATTGCACGGACCATCCTGCCTTTCTCACTGAGCCTCAAAGTAAATTACCAAATTAGAATAAGCAATTGGGGGGAAATATAAGACTGTTAGATCTACCATAAATGATGCAGCAAGTAGACAACAAATGCAGTAACATACATATCGCAAAAGGAGCAATGAACAGCAGTTCGTTCCTATGCAAAAATGCTCTCCTGACCATTTACTGCAACCCTATTCCAACTACCAGCTGGCAGAGAGAAAAGTGTGCACAGTGAGATCAAAAGGCTGTGAAACTCAAGAAGCAGAGACTGCCCTATCTATGCAAAGCTCAAAAATAAACAACATAACTGTGGTTGCCGTGACCATTCATAACAACAGCGATTAGGCAATAACACAGTCTCCCTCGCTTTCCCAAGCTAATTCTGTTCTCTTCTGTGGGAAAGAAAACCCTGATCTTCATTTATTTATTTGTTTATCATTCACTTCATTTATAACACCTGCCTTTCTCCCAATGGGAACCCAACTTACATTGTTCTTCTCTCCTCTGTTCTCTCCTCACAACAACCCTGTGAGGTTGGCTAGGCTGAGAGTGTATGACTGACCCAAGGTCACCCAGCAGGCTTCTGTGGGAGAATCAAACCTGGGCCCTTCCAGAGCCTAGTCCAACACTCGAACCCTAAATGAATAAGAATCAGACACATTCTCATTCAACCGGGGGGGAGGGGGGTTTGGTGAGGGATGTGTGTGTGTGCGTGCGTGCGCCTAGAAGGCATGGTGATTTCTGGCAACCCCTAATGGGGCTAGAACGTTTCAGAGAGGTGGCTCAATATTGCCTGCCTCTGTGTCCTGGCCCTAGTATTCCTTGGGGGTCTCCCTGCCAAGTACTCACCAGGGTCGGCCCTGCTTAGCTTCTGAGATTTGCAGAGATGGGGCTTGCCTGGGCTATCCAGGTCAGGGCCTCATTCAGCAGTTCTGTAGTTAACTAAAAAAGAACAAAAACCTTGCAGAGGTTGTGGTGATGGTGGTGTTCCTAAATAATGGCAACTTTCAGATAAAGCATCTTGGGAGACTGCAGTGTTCGCACCCCTGGTTTCTGCATGTTGCCATTTTTAGATCAGATTTGTGTCCAGAGACTTCACAACAAATGTATGCTGATTATAAATTAACTTCCCATTGGTGACCTTGCTTGTCATCAGTTTTAAATCTGACCGCTGCTGTTTAAGGTTTGCTTTAATATACATAAAATCTCTCATCAGGGCATTAATTTAAAAACGAGTTTCTTAAACCAAAATCGGAATGATTTGAAATAGTTGCTTTTAAGGGTGCTGGAGCAAAATGTGCTGATATCATACTTTTAGACCTCTGCTCTGCAAAACATAACTAAGTTGTTGCCTCCCTGAAGTGAGGAGAAAGAAATGATCTGCTATCTATCTGCATAGAACTTCTATAAAAAGGTGAGGGTTGCCCAGGGAGGGCAGAGTATAATGCTGTAGAGTCTGCCTTCCAAAGCAGCCATTTCTTTTTCCCTAGGGAACTGGTCTTTGTAGTCTGGAGATCAGTTATAATTCTAGAAGAACCCCAAAACCACCATCCCTCCTTTCCCCAAACCTATCTTCTCTGCCAGAGCCTTGCCTTATCTCCCTATTCTTAACGGTACCCAGCCCATGTACCTGCCTTTTCCCACATTCGTCCTTCCCCTCGTCTTTCCCTCCCCACCTTCTGTGGGTTTCAACTCTTGTCTGTTTTGCATTGTAAACACTTTGCGAGAGGGACTTGTTCATTTCTGAAACATGATACGGAGCCACATATACATTTGTGAGACTGTACTTTCAAAATGATAAAATGGTGTGCCAAAAACCTGAATGCTGTGCGATCAGTGTGAATTAGGCAAAATAAGCAGGTTAGTATCTGTTTGCTTTTTGCACAATTTCAGCTTCTGTATTTCCCGGGTAGGAGTACGCAAAGCAACAAAGTCTGGTACTGAGCAATTTACCTGTAATTTGCGGTTTTGCAATCTTCCCCATCATGATGACTCAAAATTTATTTCTTTTTAAGATAGCTGAGGTTGGCAGGATACTGAATTCTGTTCCTCAGTCCTACTTTTTTGCGCTTGCACATGAGCACAAAATCTGCTGTTGGCTGCAGGATTTGGCAGCCGGGACATGGACCCAACCAGGTTCTCTCCCAGATTTGCATCACGCCTCTTGCAAAAGCCCCTGAAAGCTGCAGGAGTCAGCAAGACCTCTCCGGTGCCGCCTGCCTCGGGGTCACGGGAAATGTAATGGGGCCGACTGCTGGTTCATCACCGCTAGCATTTCACAGAACTCAGGTCAACAGCTGCTTCCTTGCGGTTTGGGTGGATCTCCCCCCCCCCCATTGTAATGGAGAGGAGAAACACCTGGTTGTTGTAAGCAAAACAAAACACAGGAGACCTGGGCAAAAATGTCAGCGTTTCCTGGCGGGTATTTTCTTCTAGCAAACTATTGCCATTCTGTACACCTTCCCCAGACTGAGTTTTTAGTCCATTACAAGAACAAAGCCAAACTAGAACTGATTGAGATCTCCCAAGGTTTTTTAAAAATTTAAGAGAAGTTTTTTTGGGGGGAGGGATAGTAATTTAGATTAGCGTTACAGTGCAGGCAGGGAGGTTCACAGTTCACTGCTGCACCTTTCCCCCCACAATATTATTCTCTGCCCCTTTAGAGCAGCTC